CACACTCTTTGCATTTGTAGGGCTTCTCTCCAGTGTGAGTTCTGATGTGGCAAATAAGATTTGATTTTTCACCAAAAGCTTTGCCACATTCTGTACATTTGTAAGGCTTCTCTCCAGTGTGAGTTCTGATGTGGCAAATAAGCTGTGATTTGTAACCAAAAGCTTTGCTACATTGTGTACATTTGTAGGGCTTCTCTCCAGTGTGACTTCTGCTGTGGCTAATAAGGTGTGATTTTTGACCAAAAGCTTTGGCACATTCTTTACATTTGTAGGGCTTCTCTCCAGTGTGAGTTCTGCTGTGGCAAATAAGTAAGCTGTGATTTGTAACCAAAAGCTTTGCTACATTGTGTACATTTGTAGGGCTTCTCTCCAGTGTGAGTTCTTCTGTGGCTAATAAGGTGTGATTTTTGACCAAAAGCTTTGGCACATTCTTTACATTTGTAGGGCTTCTCTCCAGTGTGAGTTCTCCTGTGGTGAATAAGGTTTGACTTTTGACGGAAAGCATTTCCACATTCTTTACATTTGTAAGGCTTCTCTCCATTGTGGCTCCCTCTGTGGTAAATAAGACCATTTTTTTCACTAAAAGCTTTGCAACATTCTTTATATTTGTAGGGCTTCTCTTCAGTATAAATTTTCTGGTGGTGAACAAGGCCTGAATTTTTATATGATTTCAGGTGTTCACTCTCACTTGTAGTTTTCAATATTTTCTTTTGTGGTAAATAGTTAAGATCACAAATTTTATATTTTGCACTTATCACTTCATGAAATATATGTTTTAGGCCCTTTTCTGGTGAATATTCTTGGGTATGATTAGGAGTCATGACTGAAATAAACAAAAATAAAAACAATACCTATTAGACTGCGATAAATATATTTTGCATACATAACATGAAATTAAGGTAAAATAAGTACATCAGGACTGTAGCAGATTAGTAAATCCAAAGTCACAAAAAATCCAAAAAATGTTAGTTCAATAAAAATGTACAGAAAAAATTACCTTGAGAATATTATCCAAATTTGTGTACAGACCAAATAATCCAAGAGGAGAACATCATTAAGATGAGTAATATAATTAAGTGTAGAAAAGAATCATTAACATCCTTTTGTCCTTCATAAGATAGTATTGCGTACTTAGGAAATATCTACGATCTACCTTCACTGTCAGTACAATACGAGAAATGTAAAACATATACAAACATTTATGGCTTTTTCAAAGAGTGTCCAAAATATGGTTTTTGTCTTCTGTGACATAGAGACATGAAAATAACTAGTAGATTTTGAGTGATAATACCATAAATATTCAACAAGGGTAAAGAGGCAATTGACTCTTAAAAAGAAATATGAACAAAAAATTTACTAAGAAATATACACATATAAGTCTATAAAATTTTTCATAAAAACATTTTAAAAGACTATAAAAACCTTGCATAGCCTATGTCCATAATATTTGGATGAATTCAACACATGACAATAAAAAATAATAAATTGATTTTTATATTTTTACATTCATGTGAAATGAGAATTTCATTTATTGACAAATACAAATTTGTTTATTTATAAATATATCATTGTATTATATACTACATATACAAGGTAAAATGACTAAATAGAATGAATTAACAAAAT